CCAAGATACTACCACACTGCAGTCTCGGAAACCAGAGCGAGATTCTGTCTCAAAAAAAAAAAAAAAAAAAAAAAGTAAAAAAGAGTATTCTGTTTTTTGCTTTTTTTATCAAGGCAGTGCCATCACAGGCGGCTTGGTTTAAGCAACAGCTTGGTGGCAACAGGAACCAAGTAGTAGTGAAGTACCAAGGTGAGCCGGCAGCCTCCGTGGGCCCAAGCAGCACATCTGGGGATGAGGAGCAGGGCTCCTGGTGGGACTGAGGAAGGGGCCAAGGTAAGAAAGAAGCTCAGCAATTGCCTAATTCTCCACAGTCCAGGTGCAGGGCTGAGACAAGCCAGGACTAGAGAAGCAGACTTCAGAAATCCCTGGAATTTCTGGGTTTCGGAAGGACCTTGTAATAGATCACTGCTTTTTTTTTTTTTTTTTTTTTTGTCTGCCTACCCTCCCCACTTCTTTTTCCCATTTTGTCTGGGAACAGAATCTTCCTTCCTGAGGAAAATCCACTGGATGTGGTTCATTCACGTGGGGCTCACACGGCTTCCTCGTCTTCTCGCTACTTCGTGCCACGGTAGGCAGCAGATGACCCAAGCTGGCCAATCGGGTGACACCTTGGCCCTGGCCACAGTGATTGGTTCAGGGATGGATCTGTAACTCACACCTGACCAATCAGCGTCTTTCCTGGGACTTTCCTATCCGAGCTATCAGGAAAGATTTGTTTGCTCCTCTGAGGTTGCTGTAAGAGTATCTTGGTACATAAGAGTTGCTCAAGAAGGAAGCCAAATAGGAGCAAATGGAGCCAACATGTAGGGAGAGAGATCAGATCTGATGACATAGTTTGAACTCTTATCTTCATCCATGTCCGAGGACAGCACCATCTCTTCAACTGCCCAGTTACATGATCCAATAAATTCCCCATTGAGGCTTTGTGGTTAATGTAAGTCGAGTTTCTGTCACTGCTCAGCATCCTATCTACACAGACCTCCAACACAAACTCCTCTTACAGGGGCATCCCTGCCTCTGACTCCAGATCTGAACTTGGTTGTGAGAATAGGAGAAGCTGAACAGCCTCTTGGCTAATTTCCTCCATAATCAGTCCCTGCTTTGTATCCCATTTTCAATGACCGAGGCCCCATATCCTTATCCTGGCTCTTAGTCCTTCCAGCCCCAGGAGGGACAGCTGGCCAGAACTTGTCACTTGCTGCTGTGTCCTGAGCATTGCTCGAGCCTGTCTGGATTTCCACCTATGGTCCACACCAGTCCTACTTGATGCAAACTACTTCCCCCAATCCCTACGCCCATTGGGTCTACCTATTTCACAGATGGCTAAGTCATGGTTACATGAACTTAAAGCTTCACGTGCAACTTAAGGCAGCATTTCCGAAATTGTGTACTGTGAGGCTCCATTTGGCCATTTGGTGAGATGTTAATAGTCCATTAACCAAGAGGAAAAAAGCAAAGCTGGCAATGTTTTCTCTTCCATTTTATATTTTAAAATACAAAGAGTGGAGAAACTTTAATATGCAGCTTATCCTCTAAGGTCGACACTTAAGATGAAAATCATGGCTCATCAAAATTGCCTTTGATAAATCCTTGAATTGTCCACAAAGCATAGCAAACACTTCCCACTTGGGTCTGCTGGAGCCAATTTTTCCTCCAGCTCTGGAACAAGTTGCTGTTTTTACAGTTTTGCTCCAGGTGAAGGCGAAGGAGTTGACTTATTTTAGGGGTCATGTGGCTGAAAAATATGTACCTATATTAATAAGTAGAGCAGCAAGATGCTCACTCTGTGAGAAGCACGTGGGAACAGAGATTGACGGAGGGAAGCCCAGATGCAAGTATCCCATCTCAGACCTACGCCAGGGTTGCTGGATCATTGCGTTATCGTGGTGGCTCACGCCTGTTATCTCAGCACTTTGGGAGACCTCTCTCTCCATGTCCATGTGGAACATGTATAACTGAATCTGGGGGAGTTAAATACATGTAAGTTATGATTTCACCATGTGAAGGAAAAATATTTATCATTATAAGGTGTTCTCATAGTAATCTGTTTTTAGAAATTTATTATTATTATTTGAGATGGAGTCTTGCTCTGTCACCCAGGCTGGAGTGCAATGGCATGATCTCAGCTCACTACAACCTCCACCTCCCAAGTTCAAGTGATTGCCCTGCCTCAGCCTCCTCAGTAGCTGGGACTACAGGCACCCCCACTCCCACATCCAACTAATTTTCGTATTTTTAGTAGAGATGATGTTTTTACCACCTTAGCTAGGCTGGTCTCAAATGCTTGACCTCAAGTGATCAGCCTGCCTTGGCCTTCCAAAGTGCTGGAAATACAGGCATGGGCCACCGTGTCCAGCCCAGCATATATGTTTATCATTCAATATTTATTAAACAGTAAACATATGAATCAAATAATAGTAATAATCCTAATAATAGCAATATTAATAAGAAGTAACAATAAGAGAACTAACAAAAATATATGCCATATATTTTTCAAACAGCTCGGCATTTATTAGTTCATTTAATATTCCTATCAATGAGTCTCCTCATTTTACACATGAGGGAACCAAGGCTCAAAGAAGTGAAGGATTTTTCAGTCCACATTTCCAGATCTCAAATCCTGAGCTTATATATGGTTACTCTGAGGGTCAGACCAGAAGATGTACATAAAAATACATATATGTATTTTATACACATACGTATACTATTATATAATTAAAAAAGGTTTTTTTTTTGTTTGTTTGTTTTGTTTTGTTTTGTTTTGAGACAGAGTCTTGCTCTGTTGCCCAGGCTGGAGTGTAGTGGTGCGATCTTGGCTAAATGCAACCTCCACCTCCTAGGTTCAAGTGATTCTCCTGCCTCAGCCTCCCAAGTAGCTGGGACTACAGGTGCGCACCACTATGCCTGGCTAACTTTTGAATTTTTGGTAGAGACAGGGTCGCACCATATTGGCCAGGCTAGTCTCAAGCTTCCGACCTCCAGCGATCCGCCTGCCTCGGCCTCCCAAAGTGCTAAGATTACAGGCGTGAGCCACCGCGGCCAGCCTCAAAATGATTATTTTTAAAAATAGATACTAGTTATGGAGCTCTTATCCTATGTCAGTCACCATAATAAGGGCTGCTCATGCTTTTTTTTTGTTTAATTGTCACAACCCTACGAACAGATGCAGAAACTGAGACGCTCAGAGAAGTTAATGACTTGGCCCCGGAAGACATAGCCAGTAGTATGAAATAAGTTGGATTAACTCTTAGTAAACTACACTGCCACCCTCTATAGATACAAATTGCCTCCATCATCATTATCAATCAGCACAGAGAATAAGAGGCACTCACCATATGGGAAATTCAAATCACAACCACAGAGAACTACCGCTTCACACCCATTAGCATGGCTAGAATTGAAAAGACAGACAATCGGCCAGGCATGGTGGCTCATGCCCGTAATCCCAGCACTTTGAGAGGCTGAGGTAGGCAGATCACTTGAAGTCAGGAGTTCGAGGCCAGTCTGGCGAACATGATGAAACCCTGTCTCTACTAAAAATACAAAAATTAGCCAGATTACAGGCGACGTATGCCTGTAATCCCAACTACTCAGGATGCTGAGGAAGGAGAATCGCTTGAGCTGGGGAGGTGGAGGTTGCAGTGAGCCAAGATTGCACCACTGCATTCCAGCCTATGCAAGACTTCATCTCAAAAAACAAAAACAAAAACAAAAAGCACAAAAAGACAGACGATAACAAGCGTTGGTGACAATGTGGAGAAACTGGACCCCTCATACTCTGCTGATGGGAATGCAAAACGCTGCAGCTGCTGTGACATTCAGTCCACAGTTCCGCTAAAGGTGAAATATACTTAACATATCACCCAGCAATGCCACTCTTAGGTACACACTCAAGAGAAATGAGAATATATATCCACATAAAACCTTGTACACAAATGTTCGTGCAGCATTATTCATGATTGCCAAAAAGGGGAAACAACACAAATGTCCATCAAGGGATGAAAGGGTGGATGAAAGGTGGTCTCTCCATGCAACCATATGACTCAGCCACAAAAAGGAGTGAAGGATAGGCCAGGCAAACAGTGGCTCACATCTGTAATCCTAACACTTTGGGAGGCCGAGGTAGGCAGATCACTTGAGTCCAGGAGTTTGAGATCAGCCGGGGCAAATAGTGAGACCCTCGTCTCTTAAATAAATTGAATGAAGTGTCCGCACATGCTACAAGATGAATGAGCATTCAAAACATGCTAAGTGAAAACAGCCAGCCACAAAGGGCTACAGATTGTGTGATTCCATTTAGGGGAATGTCCAGAATAGGCGAATCCATAGAGGCAGAAAGTGAATTCATGAGTGGGAAGGAGGAGGAACAGTGCTGGAAATGGTGGCGAAGGAGTGTGAGTTTTTTTTTTTTTGAGTCGATGAAAATATTCTAAAATTGATTGTGGGATGGTTGCACAACTCTGAATAATCCAAAAAACCATTAAATTGTATCATTTAAATGGGTGGATTGTATGGTGTGTAAATTCTATCTCGGTAAGTTTCTTTTAGAAAAAAACAGTGTCTTCCTGACATTGGTGACCTAAAGTTATAATACATTTTCAAGCCTGGGCCTATTCCTCCCAAGCACGGTGACTCAGATGATGGCATGATCACCAGGCGTGCCCCGAGATCCTTGCCTTCTCTCCGGGAATCCAGGGTGTTTCCCTGAGCTTTCCCACCTTCCCCAGCCACGCCCTGCCCTGCTCGCCCGGGCCGGCCCAGAGTAGAGCGGAAAGGAGTCCCACTCGCCTGCCGCCGCTTCTCTCTGCTGCAGCCCGGCGGCGGCGCCCTGTCATCCTGCCTGCTGCTGCTTCCGCCCTCCCGCCCAGCTTGCTGCGAGAGAGCGTCTCAGATTCCGAAACCATGTGAGATTCAGAATGCGCACCTGAAGCTGCCCCCTGGGGCTTACTGTGCTGGTAACCACTGCAAGAGGTCTGGGGTCCTCCCTGCATCCTACTTACCTAACGTAGGAAAAGACGATCACGTGGAAGAACCACTTAAGGGTGCCATAATTCATGCTCTGGATCCGGGTGACTTTGTTGGTCTCATACTGGAAAACATCACTGCAGCTGCAGCAGGCCGGCATGGTGACAGGCTCCCTCCCTGCGCGGGGCTGGACCAGGGCTCAGCTATCCCCGGTGGGGCCACAGCAAGCTCCCTCCCAGTAACTGCAAAATGAAGCTTACTGATTTTTAGTAGGAGCCTTTAACTTTGAGCTCCTCCAATGGCTGTAGAGTAAGGGCGGGCCCTGGCAGTTGCCCCAGATGTGGCTGCAATAAACAAGAAGGGCCAAGTCCTACGGACCAGGCTGGCAGATGACCTCGCCCCAGCTGGCCTCCCCCAGATGCCTTCACAAAGACGGTGTTCAGAGGATAGGCATTTTTAGAATTCTCCCTTTCTCTCCTTTCCTTTTGCTTTTTTGGGCTCATTTCTGTTGGGAGAAAGGGGCAGCTCTGCAAATGTCGCAAGACCCGGAGCTTTCACTGTGCCTCAGAAAAGGGCTGCGATCTTTCCATTGCCTCAAGCCCCTCTCAGAGATTGATTCATTCATTTCTACAAGCCTTTATTCAGCCCCTGATGTACAGGAGCTCTGGGTAAAGGAAGGTCTCCCTCTCTTCTTCCACTGCCTGGTCTGTCTGGTCTGTAGTTGGTGGGGGAAATCAGATTTGCAAGGGTGAGGGTGGTGGGGGTAGAGGGACTTTATTTTTCTGCCAGCTCTTTCATGCCTGACCCTCTGAATTACTCTCCACCCTGCCCTACACCCCGGAAGGTCAACCCATGACCTAGACCAGTGAGCCCAAGATGACCAGGAACACAGTGGCAGTCCAACAGAGTTACATTTCTTGACCTATTCAGTGAGGGACACCACCCACCAGAAGAGCCACAGCATATTACCAAAGGAGTAGAGCAATGTATTAAAGGATTCCCAGGAAAGTGGAATTTAGATAAAATCTAAATGAAGTCATGTTTTGAAAGACTCCAAGCAAAGCAGGTTTGTACAAAGCAGTCATCTTCAAATCTGGATTGCAAAGGGGTCCCAGGGCCCTGTTTCCTTGAAAGCAACATAGCTAAGATATATGTCAAATGTGTCCAGAAACTACCTGCAGCTCTGCTCCTGAGTTGTAAGTTGAGGCTGCTTCTCTTTGTCAAGATGACTTAGGTCCTCCAGGCAAAACTGGAATACTTCAGTCTTAGTCACGTAATCTCAAACAGCAAAGTTTCTGCAGGTCTGTGATTTTAAAGGACAATGTTTCAGCAGTCGCTTAAAGATGCAGGGTTGTATTATTACTTTACAGCTACAGAGAAATAGTGTTCCCTGTTATTTCTGCAGCTGGCATGATCCGTTTCTGTTACTGTAGCCTGCTAAGTGGCCGGGTAGATTTTTACTTTTTCAGTCTGAGTGAATTGTACTTTCCCACCCACCCAAACTGCATCAGGGTTCCCCCTCTCCCTCTGGCTTCCAGTTCAGGAAACTGGAAAGCAGTGAGGATGGACAGGACTCCCCGGCCCCGCCCTTCTCAGGTGCATATAGGCGGGGCTTCTGGCCACCACTCCCTCCTTTAGTCCTGGGAGTGGCGGGGGCTCCCCACTCTTGCCAGCCCCAGGCAGCTCACTATCCCCTGTTACTTTTTCTTAACTCTGCCTACAGCTTTGTAAATGCCCCCATCATTAGTTACCCCACCTGAGTATGCCATTGCTTTCCTGCTGGGAATCTGAGTGATACGGTCATCTCCATCTGTACAAGGAGGAGATTCACAGGGAAAGCCTGATGCTTAGAACATAGGCTCCAGGGGACTAATGGCCTGGCTTCCAATCCTGGCTCCACATCTTACCAGCTCTGTGACCTTGAACGGCTCTGTTTCTGCTATTCATTCCCTCATTCATTCACTCATTCCCAAGAGCACCATGAACAGGCAGACAAGTCAAGTGTCCATCCACTGATGGATGGATACACAAAAGGATTCTGTCCATACAGGGGAATGTTATTCAGCCATAAAAAGGAATGAAGCCCTGACCCATGCTCCAACATAGATGAACCTTGAAAACATTACGCTAAGTGAAAGAAGCCAGACACAAAAGGGTACATCTTTTATGACTCTCTTTATAGGAAATGTCCAGAATAGGCAAATCACTTCAGTGTTGCTCTTGCTACCACTAAAAGACATCTATTTTCTTTTCTTTCTTTCTTTTTTTTTTTTAAGATGGAATCTCCCTCTGTCATCCATCCTGGAGTGCAGTGGCACGATTTTGGGTCACCACAACCTCTGCCTCCTGGGTTCAAGAGATTCTCATGTCTCAGCCTCCCAAGTAGCTGAGATTACAGGCGTGTGCCACCACACTCAGGTAATTTTTGTATTTTTAGTAGAGATGGGGTTTCACCGTGTTGGCCAGGCTGGTCTTGAATTCCTGGTCACAAGCAATCCACTCACCTTAGCCTACCAAAGTGTTGGGATTACAGGCGGGAGCCACCACGCCCAGCCTGTTTTCTTGTCTCTCTGCTAAACTCTTGCACGGATTCCTCATGCTGTCTCCTCTCCACTGCTTCAGCCCTTATCTGCTGTTTCACCCCTGCCACCTCCACCACTCCAAGGATTCTGTTCTCAATGAGGTTACCAAAGACTTCCCAGTTGCCAGACTTAGTGAACATATTCTATTCCTTATTTTACTTGATCTCTTGGATGCATTCAACATCACTGGCCGCTTTCTGCTTCTTGGACCAGCTTTTTCCCTTGGTTTCCATTACTCTCCTGGGTCCTATGTTCTCCTGGTTTCTCATTTGTACTTCTATGACTCTTTATATTTCTTTTTTAAAAATTAATTTAATTAATTTATTTTAGAGACTGGGTCTTGCTCTGTCATCCAGTCTGGAGTGCCGTGGCGTGATCATAGCTCACTGCAGCCTCAAACTTGTGGGCTCTAGTGATCATCCTACCACAGCCTCCTGAGTAGCTGGGACTACAGGCACATGCCACCAAGCTTGGCTAATTAAAAAAAAAATTTTGTAGAGATAGTGTCTTGGTATGCTGCCCAAGGTGGTATTGAACTCCAGGTCTCAAGTGATCCTCCTGCCTCAGCCTTCCAAAGTACTGGGGTTATAGGCATGAGCATCCAACCTTTGTCTTCTCTTTCTCTGGCTCTCCTCTCCCTGTAAGTATCAGTTCCAGCAAATTGTCTCTCAGCACTTTTTATGTTTCTATTAGGATAGGACAGATTATGCTGCAATAACACAGCACTCTCAGAGTCTCATGGCTTATAACTGTGATGATTTAATTCTCACCCACACTACATGCGGGTCTGGGTCTCCCAGAAGTCTCTGCTCTCTGTAATCACTCAGAGATCAAGGCTAGCAGAACAGCCACTGTCTTGAACTCTTTAATGAGAACCCTGGAGAGTCTCACAGCAGCAGTTTACGTTCTGACCTCGTGGTTGAACGAATATATACATATGTATAAAAGCTTTGACCTGGAAATGCACTCACTTCTACTCATTACTCATATTACTCATTGATCAAAAGTAATCACTTCGTTCTACCCAGCCACTAGGGAGCAAGGAAGTACAATCTCCACGTATCTCCCCCATGTATCCAGAAACAGAAGAAGCAGAAATATTCGGTGAACAGCGCTAATGATTATTGGATCTTCTCCCTGGGAAATTTCATTCACACACATTGTTTTAAGAATAATCAGGCGGGGCATGGTGGCTCACACCTGTCATCCCAACACTTTGGGAGGCTGAGGCAGGCAGATCACCTGAGGTCAGGAGTTTGAGACCAGCCTGGCCAACATGGTGAAACCCCATCTCTACTAAAAATACAAAAATACAAAAAACCCCATCTCTACTAAAAATACAAAAAGCTTGTCTCTATTAAAAATACAAAAAACAAAAAACAAACAAAAAAAAAACCACCATGGTGGTGGGTGCCTATAATCCCAGCTACTCGGGAGGCTGAGGCAGGAGAATCGCTTGAACCCAGGAGGCAGAGGTTGCAGTGAGCCAAGATCCCACCATTGCACTCCAGCCTGGGCAACAGAGAGAGAGACTCTGCCTCAGAAAAAAGAAAGAAAGAAAGAAAGAAAGAAAAAGATGCTAAAAGAAATACAGGTGAGAGCAAGGGGCATATATGTATATTACATGTTTAATGATGCATGGAAAATAACAGGAAACAGGGTCTACCATATAATTTGCAAGGCCAAGGGCAAAATGAAATGTGGGGTCCCTTATTCAAAAATTAAGAATTTGAAAATGGCGACAGCAAAGCGTTAAATGAATTCAGTTTCCTTCTAAGTGTGGGTCTCTATATGACTGCACAGGTCCCATGCCCATGAAGATGACACATCTGGAAGACACACAAGGTGGTCTCTGGGAAGGGAGCTGGGGGAATTGGTTGGTATTTGACAAGAGATTTATTTATCACCCTTCTTGTGTCTGAATTTTTTTCTACCATATGTGTTCATTACTTTTTAAATCACTGAATGCTAAATCTGTATCTCCAGACCGTATCTGAGTTCTGAGCTCCACCCCTGTGTAGTCTATCAACCTATGAACCTATATATCCCACAGACACTTCGAATCACATCTTCAAAATGAAACACCTTCCCACAGAATAATAGTGCAAGGAAGGACCAATGAGAGGAGAGAGTGCAGACAGCAATCATGGACCACATTTTTTTTTTTTTTTTTTTTTTTTGAGATGGAGTTTCGCTCTGTCACCCAGGCTGGAGTGCAGTGGCACGATCTTCGCTCACTAAAACCTCCGCCCCTCCGGCATTCAAGCGATTCTCCCACCTCAGTCTCCTGAGTAGCTGGGATTATAGGCACGCACCACTATGCCTGGCTACTTTTTGTATTTTTTAGTAGAGACGGGGTTTCACCATGTTGGCCAGGCTGGTCTTGAACTCCTGACCTCAAGTGATCCACCTGCCTCGGCCTCCCAAAGTGCTGGGATTACAGGTGTGAGCTACCACGCCTGGCCATGGACTACTTTTTCTATAGGAGAGAGGTAAGAATGGTTTTTAATGGAGTCAAGGAAAAATGTGTGTGTGTGTGTGTGTGTGTGTGTTGCAAGGATGTAGAGAAGCTGGAAGCATTTGAGCCACTCAAAGATTACAGTGTACTAAGTGGGATGTTGAGAATGGTGGTCTCTGTTTCTTTGTGGAGTAGGAAGCCAGGTGTGAAGGAATGGAGATTGGGGATTGCATGTGCGTGTGTTTACAATTTACAGAAAAT